AGAGGGAGAAGCTGGGGCAAATCTCTCTCCTCCTGCATGCCAAAACAAGTACTACTCACCCATTGGGGGAGATGGGCAGCATACACATTTAAATAAATAAATAAATAAATAAATAAATAAATAAATATCTGCTCCACAGTAGCTCTCCTGTCCTTGGCAACCCTGATAACTGATGCTTGGCAGAAGCCAGTCTCTTTATCTCTAACTGCTTGACTAGAGAATATAAAGTACTGTAGAACAGAAGTAGTGTTATTTTATTTTCTGTCATTCATTGCCAAAATCCATAGTAATGGAAACCACTTAAAGCAGGATTCAATCTCACAATCAAGTAGTTCCTGTGGATGTGGAAGTTTGGAAGTTTGATGCAATGGACAAAGGCTATTCATCTCCTTCTCCTTTAGAAATATGAAAGATCAGGCCTGTATGGCCTTTTATCAGCATTTACTGTTGCCTTTCTTACTCATCTGCTAGAATGAAAAAAGGGCTGACATCTTCCTAACCATAGCCTATAGTTTGTCCAAATAACAGATTACAGTGATAAAGCATGTGGTGAACTGCAGTTGTAGCATTTGGGGGGGGGGGGCAATCACTGGCATACATAAATTGAAATAATAAACAAACAAACAAATGGCTCTGTTCTTCAAGTCTTAGGAAACATAACCCAATTTAGAGGATTTGCTCTTTGTTGGCAGTGGCATATTTAGCATGAAAATGGGTGATCAGTACTATGTTACCAGTTTTTTATGCTCCCTTTTAGTATTTCTGCAGCCCTAAGGATCTTTACCAATGTATTGCCATTGCCTTTGACTATCTCCGGTTGTCGGGAATCCATATATGCACATATCTGGATAATTTGCTGCTTCTGGCACTGTGTAGATGACAGCTGCTCTGTGACCTTGGGATCACTCTCTCCCATCTTACAGTCCCTAAAGGTCTTCATCAACTTGGCAAGTTGGTGCCTTTGCTGTTTCCGTTCTGTCTTTCCAGAGAGGACTGTCCTGATTTTATCTCTGAAGGGCTTACCTCCCAGCCAGCCAGCTGTCACCCTTATTTCTCTCAGTAAATCAGTCCAGACTCAGTGTCATTCTTTTACTGTGATAACCCCGAAATTATTGGTGCCAGCTTACTCAGGACTTTGGCAGAATTTTCCAGATATTCGACTTAGATGGCTTGACTAGACTCTAGGCTCTTAGTCAGCATAAGCTTCACAATGTAGTGTTGATCTTTCATACAAAGGAGGTAGGATGTGCTTGTCCAAACTTCTCTTTCTTTTCCTCTGTTTATGGAACTGGTGCCTTGCTTGTTGGATTAATCTTATTGTGGTTCACCAGAACCTGCCACTACTCTCTCTTGGAAAAAGATGTATATCTCCATAGGTGGGACACACTTTTTTTATATGCCTTTACACCATTCCCTCTCAAACCAAAGGTCCTTTAAAGGCTCTGTTGAACTGGGTCTCTGAAATATGTGTTGTAGTGACTGAGGCAACTGGCATTCTCCATCATCCTGTGCCTCTCTTAGCAAGTACTTCTGTGTACCCCTTAAGTCGGATCATTATCAGAACTAAAGCTGAAATTACATCCATATCTGAGATCTCTGAAAGTCATATTGTAATTTTTATAAACTTCTACTCTGAGAGGTAGATGATATCCTGCTTGCACTAGTGCACCTAATGCTAGGAAATAGACATTGTTTTTAAAGTCTCTGTCTTCTTTAATTTTTCCCCGATAGTTGTCCATTACAACTGGTCTTTAAGTTTCCATTATTTCTGAAGTTGGATAGTCTATCATTATCTTTGCTGAAGTTCAAATTTGTCTGTCTCAATGTTCTGTATAGTTGTTGGTCATACTCTGTTTTTTGCATCTTCTGCCTAAACACTTTTTAAGGAAAATTTCTAATACTTAGTCTCCAGATCAACGTTTAATTCTTCTTTGGACCCTTTTACAGTTTTGCCCACCTTTTTGCTGAAGCTTTCTTAATTATTGGCTACTATAGATTCATAACATCCCCTAGAAATTAGTGTTCTTGGTGATAATCACCTCTGTGAGAAAAGATGGGAAACAGAAGACCAAATGTACTTTCAGTTCCAAAGGTTGCAGTAATTAGACATATTATTGTATATACATCAACATGAAATCAGAGCTGCCAGTTCTTTAGATGGTATTGGCCTTCATTTGCGTGAAGTTCTTTCCAAGAATCTAGGATGTTGTAATGTATCGGTGTAGTATATGTGCAGATCTTTGTAATTGACAGATGGAAATTTTGTCAATGTGCAGATTTTCTAAGTGCCATCCAAAGTTTTTTGGAATGGCACCCAGTGTGCTGATAACCACTGGGACCACCACCGGGTTATGCCATAATCTTTCAGCTTCAGTTTTCAAATCTTGATACTTTGTGATCTTTCCAATTCTTT